GGAAGGACAATTGCAAGACATTACATGAACACAAAGCCAGGTGGATGAGGGGCATCCCTCACCCACCGGGCATTCCCTCAAGCATGAGGAAGGACAATCCCAATCAAATCACAAGACATTTACATGAACACAAAGCCAGGTGGGTGAGGGGCATCCCCCATCCACCAGGTGTATCCTCAAGCATGAGGAAGGGCAATCCCAAAATTATCTTACTGTTCCTCATGCTTGGTTAATATCAAAAGCAATACAACAGTTTCTAACATCATAATATTCCAATGATCAATAACTTTTAAAACTTATGCATACACAACACCTAATGACTAACAAATCTTAATTCCTTTCTATTTTATGCTAATTCTACCTACACTATAGAAACTCTTAATTATAGCCCAACCCAGTTCCTAAGAATGTGGCCCGGTCAAAAGATCACGCTGGGCCATTTCTAGGAACAATTGATTACATCCTCTTAACAAAATGGCTGTTCTAAAATCCTATATATCTATCTTTATTTCTATAAAGGTTTCTAATTCCTAATCCTAATATATAAAGCTGATCATCAGCAATAAAGCTTCTAAAAATAAAACCCAAATATAAACTGTAAATTGTACTAAAGCCAAAATCACAATAGTAGAAAATGGGAACAATGAAATTTCTAAAGTTAGCTGTATTCTTATTAAGCCTCAAAATATCATGATTGATCATGCTTGAACTAACATAATTCCCTGACGTTAGCATGACCTATTCTACAACACTTTCTATGAATAAAATAAATTCAATTTCTATAATAAGTAGAAAAACCCTACACTAACTGTAGCTAAAACTGGTTTAAAAGAATGCAGCCCAGTCCAAAGTACATGCTGGGCCCTTAGGAACGTGGCCCAGCCCAAAGTTCGTGCTGGGCCATTTCTGGTAACTCTAGATAATCATCTATACCATCTAAAGCTGAAAATAGCTCTCCATATGTATATACTAATTCTACAAATATACTTTTAAATCTTATAAATAAGCTTGTACCGTATTAAAGGTTCCCAAATGTGACTTGAGTTTAAATTATATCTAATACCTAAACCGAAACCACAGTTCATGGAAAACAGGAACAATGAGTTTCTAGAGTGAGCCATGTCTGTCACAGTCACAGAGCCTTCAACTTAGGTAGGCAGAGATCCTTTTGGCTAAAATGAAAAAGGGTGGAGGGAATGGGGTCAACAGCTCCCAAACGCATCCTAGTGGTCTCGGGGTCCACAGCCCACCTTGATCCCTAACGTTCAGGTGGGCCTCCATGGCCCGCTCCCAACAGTCTACTGCTGGGAAAGAAAGTTTGCTAGAAGTCCAAACCTCACCTGCATGCAATTTACTTATGTAGTAAAGCCTTACATATACCCCACAACTCTGAAATAAATAAATAAACAAACAGCATTAGTAAAGGTAACTTTATGGGACAGTATAAATGTTATTTCTGTTTGAAATTTTTTTTTCTATCTGGTTTAACATCTACCTAAAGCAATAATTATAAATCTGTGTTGATGGCTATGTAATGTATAAAGACATAATTTTTATGACAATAATAGCAAATAGAAGAAGGGAGAAAATGGAGCTATAGGAGCATAGTTTTTATATACAGTTGAAATTAAGTTGGTTGATCCCAACCAGATTATTGTAAGTTAAGATGGCAGCATTTAGGGCACTCTCTAAACAAATACATTTTAATATATAGTGAAAGAAACAATGAGGGAATTAAAATGATATATTGGAAAACATCTATTTAGCACAAAAGAAGACAGCAATGGAGTCATAGAGAAACAACAACAAAAAGACATAAGAAGATATATAGAAAACAAATAGCAAAATGGCATGTGTAAATATTCCCTTAAATATAAATTGATTAATTACATTAAATAAATATTAATTACATTAAATATAAATTGATTAGCCAATTCTGTTAAAAGGAAAATTGGCAGAATAGATAAAAATACATAATCCAACTATATGCCTTCTAAAAGAAACATGCTTCAAATTCAGAGACCCAAATAGGTTGGAAGAAAAAGAATGGAAAATAATATATCATACAAACAGCAACCAAAAGGGAACTGGAGTAGCTATATTAATTTTATAATGATAAAAAGGGCTGATTCATTAAGAAGATACAATAATTATAACCATATATACACCTAACAACTGAGCCCCAAATACACAAAAACTGACAGAATTTTAGGGTGAAATAGAAAATCAATAATAATAGAGATTTCAGTTACCCACTTTTAATGATGGTAGAAGGTAGAACAATGAGACGGTACCAACAAGAAAACAGAAGTCTTGAACAATACTATAAACTGAATAGAGCTAACAGATATATATGTAGAACATGCCACCCAGCAACAGCAGAAAACACATTCTTTTCAAGTGTCCATGGAACATTTGCCAAGATAGATCATATGTTAGGCCATAAAACAGTCTGAATAAAATGATAAAATAATACAAAGCAATGTCTTCTGAACTCAATGGATTGAAACTATAGATAAATAACAGAAGAAAATTTGGGAACTTCAAAAATATGTAGAAATTAAGCTACTTGTAAATACCCAATGGTCAAAAGAAGTCATAAGAAAATTAGTAAATATTTTGATAAATAAAATGAAGACAAATATACAAAATCTTATTAGATTCAACTAAAGTAGTGCTTAAAGTGAAATTTATAGTTCTAAATGCCTACATTAAAAAAGAAAGAAGAGGCCTGGTATTGTGGCTCATGCCTATAATCCCAGCACTTTGGCAGGCCAAAGCAGGAGGATTGCTTGAGTCCAGGAGTTTGAAACCAGTCTGGATAACATAGTGAAATCTCATCTCTACAAAATATCAAAAAATTCGTTGTGATGGTGCGTGCTGGTTGTCCCAGCTATCCAGGAGGCAGAGGCAGGAGGATCCTTTGAGCCCAGAAGTTGGAGGCTGCAGTGAGCTGTGATTGTGCCACTGCACTCTAGCCTGGGTGACAGAGTGAGACCCTGACTCAAAAAAAATGGGGGGGGAGAGGAGAGGGAAGAGAAGGGAGGAAGAGCTTTTAAATCATTATCATAACTTTTTACCGTAAAAAACTAGGATAAAGAACAAACTAAACTTAAAGCAAGAATAAGTGAATAATAAAGATTAAAGCAAAAATAAATGGATTAAGGAACAGACAATAGAAAAAACAAAACAACTAAAAGTTGGTATTCTGAAAAAAATTGGCAAATTGTCTGGAAAATATATATATATATTCAAACTAGGACAATACTACTGACCTTTCCAAAATAAAATGGATTATAAAGAATAATATGAACAATTACATGGTAACAAATTATATAATTTGGATGAAATGTTGAAATTCCTAGAAAGACACAAACTACCAAAATTGACTGAAAAGTAAATAAAAATTCAAGTAAACCTATTTAAAATAAAAAGATTAATTAGTAATTTAAAAAATCTCCCAAAGAAAAGCTCAGGGCCATATCAGGTAGATTCACTGATGAATTCTACCAACATGTTAAATAATAGTTAATCCTTCACAAGTTCTTCTAAAACATAAGAGGGAGAGCTTCCTGACTAATTCTATGAGACCAGTCCTACCCTGATACCAAAACCAGAAAAAGACATCACAAAAACAAAACTACAGGCCAATATCCCTTATGAACATATATGCAAAAGCCCTAAAAAAAAATACTATCAAACTGAATCCAACAACTTATAGAAAGGATTATAACATGGCAAAGTGGGATTTATCTCAGGAAATGAAACCTTGTTTTCAACATAGGAAAATTAATCAATATGAGTACTATATTTATTGAATAAAAGGCACATAATTATCTCAGTAGACACAGGAACATGATTTGACCCACTTTCATAATTTTTAAAAAAAACACTCAATAAGCTAAAAATGGAAGGTAAATTTCTCAACCTGATAAGGGGCATCTGTGAAAACTAGCTAATATTATACCTAATAGTGAAAAACAAAATATTTTTTCTAAGTTCAGAAACAAGACAAAGATGTCTACTTTTATCACTTTTATTCAGCATCGCACTGGGGGTTCTAGCAAGGGCAATTAGGCAAGAAAAATAAATCTGTACATTTTCTTGTATGTAATTTGTACCTCCAAAACACATATGCATGCAAATAACTTGACAGAGATCAGATAAATAGAATATTTTTGTCATTTTTTGTAAATTACTTTATGCACAGATTCATCTAAGGACCAGTAGAGACAGAAAAATGATAATACTGTTTGAGTAGTGTAATTGACTCATAAAAAAAAAGATGTGTTATACAAAAGGGCAGTCTATTTTACTTAATAAGCAATAAGAATTAAGAGTAAAGACTTTACAACCAAACTGGGTTCAAATCCTGGTTCTACCACATACTAACTTTGTAATCTTAAGCAATTTAATTTAACTCCTTTTGTGCCACTGCTTTCTTGTATGTAAAAATTTGAACTTAAGGTTGTAAGAATTAAGTAAGTTACTACATGCCAAGTGCTTAGAGTGTAGTAGCCACTTATGTATTATTTGCTATTCTTATTTATTTTTCATTTTTATTTTTTACTTTCATTTCCTCTGTCTCCTTATTATTATTTGCCTGGCAGATAAATAAAACAATGCATTTACTTCTTAACACGAATGTCTTCACTCTTCCTTCTACCTGTAGTTCTCAAAAAGCAATTTCTCCATCATACCTTGCTAGCGCCTGCTTATCTTGCAAGACTGTTCTGGCTACAACTCTATCCACTTTCATAGATATACAGATCTTATGGTGTTCTTCATTGTTTCTTTTGTTACATAGTAGGCTTTGTGAGGTCAGATATGGTATCTTATTTTTCTTTGTGCTTAAATCCTTTTCTATTACAGGACAGTAAGTAATTCATCCTTAATTGAATGTATTAACAGCATAAAACTTTCCTGTTACATGTTTCTGTTTGATAGCTATGCATTAAAATAATGTCCACTCACCTATTTTTATCACCTTTAACTTTCAGATTTTCCTTCTTGGAATTTTCCTGCTTCCAATTCGTGTCTTATTGGTTGCATTAATTTTATTACTGGCATGGCCATTTGCTGTAATTTCAACAGCATTCTGTCCTGAAAAGCTGACCCACCCAATAACTGGTTGGAGGAGGTAAGAAAAAAAGGTTCAAAAGTTAGAACATAATATTAAATTAAGATAAATTAAGATATATTAAATCAATATAAAAAAGACTTATTATAGTTTAGTGATCAATAGTTGTATCTAACTAATACCTGCTCAATTTTAATAATTTATTTTTATTTATCAGATAAAACTGGTCTTAATTTAGAAATATGTGGAAATTACTACCCAAGCACCTTATGATAAACTTCTGTTGAAACTGTAATTTCTTAATGTCAAAACATTTTATTTTCTGAATTACTGCCAAAAAGTGATACATCCCTTAAAGTTACACAATTAGTATATCTAAAGACATTGAAGTTACAAAATAATGCTTTCTTTTGCTCTTTTTTTGGTTTTCACATTTACTTTTGTCCCTCATACATATGCTTTCTGCAGTGATATAATTAAGTAGATCAGTTGTATTATTATTAATTACTTTAGTGATTATTAATGACAATTAATTGTTAATTGGTATAGCTTAGTTTTTTTAGACATTAGAATTGAGGCAGAATGAAACAGCTTCTCAGGTATTATCTGATTAGGATAGTATTAGAAAACAGACTGATCATGAACTAACAAAGTTTCTGGTAAAAGTTCATTCTTATTGGGCATAATCAAATTGTTGCCATCTGTGTGTCTTAAAAGTGGGGCCTCAGCCGGGCTTGGTGGCTCAGCCTGTAATCCTGTGCCTTTGGGAGGCTGAGGTGAGTGGATTGCCTGAGCCCGTGAGTTCGAGACCCACCTGGGCAGCGAGACCTCATCTCTACAATAAATCAAAAAATCAGCCGGGCATGGTAGCGCATGCCTGTAATTCTGGCTACTTGGAAAGCTGAGGCGGAAGGATCACCGGAGCCCAGCAGGTCGAGGCTGCGGTGACCAGGAGCAGCCACTGCACTCCAGTCTGGGTGACAGAGTGAGACTCCAACTCAAAAACAAAACAAAACAAAAAAACAACAAAAAAAGTGGGGCCTCTTAATGTGGACTCCATGGATAACATGTGAATTCCAAATCTGTAGATGGGTTTTAGGGCATTGAAATTGTTTTAGGACATTGTTTACTCTTTGAAATTGTGCATTTTTTTATGCAAGAATTTTTTTTTGTCCAAATCTCGTGTGAATACATCCTCCAAAATTTTTGAGAAATACTGTTCTAGAAACTTTTAAAGAAATATGCAGTTTGCTGTTCAATTCATGTCCTAGTGAACAAATGTCAGTATCAAACACAAGGCTGGTTTGAAGTGGAAATGAATCCAGTGCTGGCAATACCCCAGAGGAATCTCAGTTCTTGCAAATTATACTCCTTTGTTTTATAACTCAAGGTTGTTGGTATAAAACAACACTTCAAGGGATGTTTTTCATGACTCATGAATTCTTTTCAGATTATCTCTTTGGTTTCTATTGTTAGTGGTTTATGAATAGCTTGGATGATGGAAGGAATAGTCTAAGAATCCAAAAAAATAGATATAATGTTAGAAAAGAAAATTTTACTTTTGTCAATTAAACCAGTGTCTCTTTCTCCTCTCAAACAGATAGTTATCAAAGTTAATATGTGAGACCAGACTTTAAGCTTTTTTTAGACACTTAAATGACGTTTTTAATGGCTTTTAATATGGGATAAGCGTAGTTATCAGAAGCTAAAATCACTATAGATAAAAAACTAAGAGGTATGGAAATTCGATAAAGGAGTATACTTTGCATCCTTACATGAATAAAGTTCTCATCTCTAAAGTAAAGGGGAAGAAAGGGAAATACAGTCCCTGTGCTCTTTGGAAAAGTACTTTGGTTTTCTGTATCTCACTTCTTGCTGTTAAATAAAAGTCTCAGAAACTTCCTAGGAGCTAGTTGCTAGTGGTTCCTCACTGCGTTATTACAAGAATGTTGAGAGAATTAAATAGGAAGCCCATTTTTTAGATCTCTCATTAAATACCTCATGGGTGATACACATATGAGGTATCTAATGATACCCCCCCAAAAAACAGAATATGTTTTAAAAATTGAGTATTTATTCCTACATGTTTAAGCTTCAGTCACCGTCAAAGTGCTCTCCGTTTGATGCAATACATCTATCAAGACACTTTTTCCACTGCTCAAAACACTTTTTGAACTTGTCAGTTTTGATGCCTTTTAGTGCTTCTGCCATTTTTTGCTTCACCTCTTCCACATCAGCAAAACATATCCCTTTGAGAACTTTTTTCCTCCATGAAAATTAAAAAAAAAGTCACTTTGAGTGGTGAATAGGGAGGTGGGGGGTGGGGATCATGCCAATTTTGGTCAAAAACTACTGAATACTCAGCATGATGTGGGCAGGTGTGCTCATAAATTACCCATCATGAAATGGGCAAACACATTGGAAGAATCTCCAAAAAAAATTTGCTCAAGTCAACAGTTCAGCCTCCTCCAACAGTGCTAGCTGGTACACTGATACAGATGGGTCCCTATAATACTTACCTAGTGGGGAAAGCCTGCACTCCAAAAAATGATTCCCTTTTTTTTTTTTTTTTTGGTGCCCCTCATATTTTATTATTCATAAAAAGTTATATGCTTGTCCACATACTGAGATATTCCTCCTGTGTTTACACTTCTAGGAGTATATTTTTATTTCCCTACTTGATTGAGTTTATCAAGGTCAGAGACTAGATCTTTCTTGTCTTGTATGTCCAGCACAGTTCCTGGCACAGTTTGAAGAATTAATTAATCTTTAATGGCAGAATCTTTTTAAAAAGCAAAAATAAAAGTGAAACAGTAGAATTCTGGAATTTCTTTTTTTTTTTTTTTTTTGAGTTGAGTTGCACTCTGTTGCCCAGACTGGAGTGCAGTGGCCGCTCCCGGCCACTGCAGCCTCAACCTGCTGGGCTCAGCCAATCCTTCTGCCTCAGTCTTCTAAGTAACTGGAACCATATGCATGCACCACCACACCCAGCAAATTTTTTGATTTATTGTAGAGATGAGGTCTCGCCAAGTTGCCCAGGCGGGTCTCAAACCCGCAGGCTCAGGCAATCCTCTCACTTCGGCCTCCCAAAGTTCTGGGATTACAGGCTGAGCCACCGAGCCTGGCCGATTTCTGGAACTTCTTAAGTGCAACTCTGTTCCAGGGAAGTGAATAGTGAATTTACTTCTGAAGATTCTTCATGATATCTAAGAGTTATAACAATGTAGATAGCAAGACTCACTTGAAAAAATTATTCCTAAAATAATTTGGATAATTTGTGTATGAGAGTTCTACAAGTGTTTTAGGAGATAGCAGTATCTTCATTACACAAATGTAGATCCCCAACTTGGCTACTTTGAAGAGTAGTACTGATCTGGATATCTCAGTGGAGGATGTATGTTGAAAATTCATTTTTATCACTTTATAGTCTCAGAATTATAGAGCCATTTATGTCCTTTACCTCTCTGTGCCTTAGTTTCCTCATTTGTAAAATGGGAATGGTCATAAATAATACCTGTTTTATAAGATTAGGCTGAAGATTAAAGAAATTAATATATGTATGCATTTAGAATAGTGCCTGGCAGGAAAAGCTCCGTGTAAAGTGTTAGTTATTATTCTCCATGGCTCATATTGACATGAAATGCCCTTACATGTTTTGGTTTTCTTATAGTATTTTAGAGTAAAGCCCTATCTGCTAGCTTCAATTAATAAAGCTAATTATCTTTTCGATGTTTATTTTCAAAGGAAAATTACTCAAACGGCTTTGAAGTTTCTGGGTCATGCTATGTTCTTTTCAATGGGGTTTATAGTTGCTGTGAAAGGAAAGATTGCAGGTCCTTTGGAAGCACCAGTTTTTGTCGTTGCCCCCCATTCAACATTCTTTGATGGAATTGCCTGTATTGTAGCTGGGCTACCTTCTATGGTATCTCGAAATGATAATGCACAAGTTCCTCTGATTGGCAGTAAGTACTTGTAAAGTAACAGATAAAATATTTTCATGCTCATGCTTTAAATTAAAAGAATCATTATAGTTTATTTGTAAACTTTTTTACAACTTTAAAATAATAAACATCTCAAACATATTTTCTTTATTGTAATGAGGTATTAAATGGAAATAATTATAGAAAAGGATTCGCTATTTCACTATCTGTAGCTCATAATTCTTCTTAAAACTTATCTTTAGTACTATACCGTCATATATTTTGTTCTTATATATATATAGCTAGAAAGACTCATTTTCAAATACTACACATGCTTGTGAGAGATTTAATCAAATAATCTGAGAAAACACAGGTTACATGCTATTTCATGAATTTCTCTTTAGGATATTAAGCTGATAAATGCAGCAAGTTTTTTCTCCTAACTCTGTTTTCTTCATTATTGCTCCTAAAATCTCCATGAGGGAGCTATGTGTAACTCTTTGAAAATTATGATGTGGAACAATAAGTGCTTCCTGCCATAAAAAATAATGAAGCAAGTGAAGTGTTTTTCCTACCAGATGCTTTGGTCTCTCCCTCAGGAATTAGTCTCCAAGTAACTACTCCCTGTTATGCCAAGATTATTGCAAGCAGCAAGTAGTGAGAGATCGGGTGTGAAAGTTATCTGATGTTGCCTTGGTGCTCTGGAGAAATAAAAAAAATAATAGTAGTTATTGCAGTTTTGTCATTCAGCTAAAATGCTTTTTTAAAATGTAACTATTATGCTTTATGTAATTTTACTTTTTTCTGAGAACTTGGTTAGCAGTATATTTTTGGTAAATTAAGGTTTATTTTGCATGTGCTAGGAAGCTATCTCTTTAAAAAAACTGTGTGCTGAAAAATTAATAATATGAGTAATAATTGCCCCCTACTTATATGTACTATGAATTTACATAATCAGTATTCAAAAATAAAACATGATAATATTGTAATATATTCCAAAGATTTAATGTCACTTGAAGAAGAAGACCTTTAGGGAGAAAATTGCTTTTACTTCTTTTCATATTCTTGCCGCTTACTTCTATTAAGTCAATTAAATATTTTTAGCTATAAATATCTACTTCTTTTGAAATTAGAGGATAAGTTCTAATAAACTTTGAATTGGAGTGTCTTTTAATAGCTCTATTTGATTTGATATTTTAATTTTCATAAAAGTTGTTCTATGACATAGCCAGTATTATTACTGTGGTGGCTTTAGCCAAAAAATAGCTTGCAGCCAGGAAGGAAACTGAGACGAGCAGATTACATAAACCCTGGGGTTCGAGATCAGCCTTGGCAATTTAGTAATACCTCGTCTCTACAATAAATCGGAAAAAAAAAAAAAATTAGCTGTGCATGGTGGCATGTGCCTGTAGTCTCACCTAATTGGAAGACTGAGGCAGAAGGATTACCTGAGTTCAGCAGATCAAAGCTGTGTGATCATGCTATTATACTCCAGCCTGGGTGAAAGAATGAGACTTTTACTCAAAAAAGAGAGAAAAAAAAAATGACCTGGATTGTGACTTTTCATTTGTTTTAAAGGACTGTTACGGGCTGTGCAGCCAGTGTTGGTATCCCGTGTAGATCCAGATTCCCGAAAAAGCATAATAAATGAAATAATAAAGCGAGCAACATCAGGAGGGGAGTGGCCTCAGGTAAAACACAGTAGATGTCATCTGAATATATTCGCAATTTATTTATTGTACATCTGTCGACTTACTCATTTGCATCCACAGATAGCAATATTTGACTACATCTATATTAGATATTTTAGCATATTAGATGCAAAATAAATGAAGTAGTATTAAGAAGTCCTTTTGCCCAGAGATACTCCATGGAATTAAGTGGAAGGATCACTGGAGCCCAGCAGGTCGACACTGGGGTGGCTGTGAACATGCCATTGCACTCCAGCCTAGCCTGGGCGATGAAGTAAAACTCCAACTCAAAAAAAAGAAAAAAAAGATAAATTTTAAAAAAGATAAAGGTATAAGATTTTTCCTCCAAACTCTTTGAACTAGTTTTTTCTTTGAGTCATAAAAAGTGATTCTCAAACTCTGAATTTAATTATCTTTTTAAAAGTGGGATAGGAGATATTGATGCTCAATTATACTCAGTAGTATGTTAAATTTACTGAAAAAGTGACTAAGACTTTAATCTTATCTGCTGTATATTTTAGATAGTGCTTTTTAGATCAAATGGCATATCAGAATCACGTGTAGAACTTTTTTTAAAACTTTATCATCTCACCACCCTCTTTCTTGGAATGCCTTTTGAGGGTAAAGAAGAGGCAATATTTTTTACATAATAAGTCAGAGGTATCTAAAAAGTATCCCTTTATCTTTGCACAGTTGAAAACAAGTAATCTTTAGCAAACTGATATCTAATATCTGCAGTAATCTGATCACGCATGATAAAATGTGGATGTTCAAGTACCAAGTATGTATGACCAACCAGGTGGTTTTAGAAACCAAAGTATATGAAGAATGATTAAAAAGAGGAGTGAGAATAGCTGGCATTTGAAATAGGATTCGTTTTTTTTTTTTTCTGTGGATCTAAAAAATATATCTAGGACTAGTAGGTAGACGATAAATATATTTCAGGTCATTTTGCTCATCTTGAGGAAGAGCTTTCTGTCTAGAGGTAGAATGGTTTGATTTGGAGTCCTTTTCTAGAATTTTCAGGCATTGGCTGAGCAACCACTTGGGGGGGATATTGTAGAAAGAATTTAAGCATTCAAGATGCTAGGTGATTTTTAATGCCTCTTCTACTTCTGAGATTTTATGATTCACTCTATAGCCATTCATTGTTAATAATATAACTTTTGAATTTCCACTGAATAAAATATATTTGATATTGTATCCAGTTCTCATGGGGAACCTATTTTTTAGTTGGAGGATGGAATTATGCCTATTCAAAATTTTTATTTTATAAATAACCTGTTATTGTGGCAACATAGCCCAATAGTGCTTTCTCCCTCTAATTATTAGAAAATATTCTTTAATAATGGCTGTGAATACAGGGATTTTCTTTTTTCTTTTATTTACTTAGCAATTTACTCATGACTAAATTTTAACAGCATCAGAAAATCAAGTTGCTATTATACTTAATGAGGAAACTAACCATACTGCATATTTTTCACATGGAAAACAAAAAAATACAATAAAAGCTAAAAACACTTCTCAAAAAAAAGGATATTGTTGCTATACACACACATACATATACATATATATGTGTGTGTATATATCTATGTTTTAGGTGAAAATTGTTTAATGTAAAACTGAAATAAAGAAAGTAGGAAATTATTTGCTTAGGAATGTATAGCAGAAGAAATAATTTAATATCGCCTAATATCTACTTGCACCATAACTTACACTTTACATCTTTTAAGTTTATTCAGACCATTAATATCATAAGAAACATTTGCTAAGCGTGTCCTCTATTCAAAATTTAAATCCATTTTTCTAATTATCTTAATGGTCAGACTATACTTCTTTTAGAAGAAAATTGAATGAGCTGGTTTTAGCTTTCATTAGAATCAAGAGTTAGTTTTTTATTTCATTTTTGTTTTTTAAGCAGTGGCACCTGTTGTGAAGTCATAAGAAAGCAAGTAAAGAGGTAATCTTTTAATTAACCTGAAACATTAAACCTGTTCCTTTTTTCCCAAGATACTAGTTTTCCCAGAAGGTACTTGTACTAATCGTTCCTGTTTGATTACTTTTAAACCAGGTGAGAAAAATTAAATTATATATCATAACAAATAACATGGAAGATTTCTCAAATTATGTCATAGTAATGTACATAATAACTCTTTGATTTGCTCTGAGCAGTTCTTCTTTTCTGATAATGAGTTTTTAATGCTGTGGATCTACAGAACTCCTTTGTTTTCTCTTTTGGTGTCATACCTCCTTCTTCCTCGTAATGATCACTCTTGTGGGGTATGTGTCTTTGTTTTTGTATGTGTGTGCACCCTCACAGACACCTCGGGTCCTATGTCATCAAGTAGAAAACCTATTTCATTATCACTATAATGTCTTTAAATGCCTTCTTTTTTTTTTTTTGAGTTGGAGTCTCACTCTGTCGCTCAGACTGGAGTGCAGTGGCCACTCCCGGCCACCACAGCCTCAACCTGCTGGGCTCTGGCGATCCTTCCGCCTCAGCCTTCCAAGTAGTTGGAATTACAGGCACGCGCTACCACGCCCGGCTAATTTTTTGATTTTATTGTAGAGATGAGGTGTTGCCTGCCCAGGCGGGTCTCGAACCCGCGGGCTCAGGCAATTCACTCACCTCAACCTCCGAAAGGCGCGGGATTACAACCGAGCCCGGCTGTAAATGCCTTCTAAGGTTAACTTTAAAAAAAGTATGAAGTCAGTGAATGCAACTTTCACTGTAGCTTTTAACACTTTGACATGTTTTTGTATTGGCTGCTAGAATGCCCAGCACCAAAGTTATGAGTCTCTTCTAGCAAGTGTTCTTGCATTAAGCAATTGGCTTCATATAAATTTTCGTCATAGTTTCTCTTTGTCTTAATTTTGTAATTACTTTTTTAAAAATCCTGTTGAATAATGGATATTTGGAAAATGAAAAAAAGTAGGGAAATAAGTATTTTAAGTGGCTTAGGCACAGCATTTACTATTTTGCTTAAATAGTTTTTAATTCTAAAAATGTCTTGTTTTAGTAAACACTAGGGATTTATCAACATTTAGCAAATAATTTCTATTATGTATATCCTTAAAGTATTTATTTATTTATACTATTATTTGTTTCTTTATTATACAACTTTTATTTATGTAAAAACACATTATAAAATTTCAATGTGGTTATAGGAGCCTTCATTCCAGGAGTTCCAGTGCAGCCAATTCTCCTCAGATATCCAAATAAACTGGTAAGCATAGTATTTTGTATTGGAAGAATTTCAAATAGCACAAATTCCCTAGGATCCCTTTTAATGTTTAAATAAGGTTATGAATAGATAAATGGTAGAAGCCAATGGACGGGTTCATTTTGCTTGCCACTTCTGGTTTTTAAAATTTTGTAAGATAGGCACATATTTGTTGATGCCAATATTAAATATTATTTCACTATTACTGATTGACTTCAATAAGACATTTCCTTAGCCACTACTCCATTGTCACTATGTTGATGTGATTAAGTTCCAACTTAGGGTCCCATTAGACTGGATAATACAAATTTATGATTTTCATTAAGCATAGAAGGAAACTATTCCTGATTCAGTGGTCATTACTAATGGAAAAGCATTGGAGTAGTAAGATATATTTGGGAGAGACTTGATCCTTAATTACTGGCTCAGTACTTACTGTGTGACCCTTGGTAATAAATGGCTTAATTAAATAAGAAAATATCTGGAAAGAAACATCTTATACAAAGTCCAGAATTGACTCAGAAAATTGCTTCTTCTGCTCCAGTTGGTACATTGTTGTCCTCTGGTTATTGATTATACCACTATTTTTCTAAAGAAAAATATTTTTTAGGAGTGTTTTAGTTTTGAGAGAAACTTTCTTTACTAGAGAATTTATTTAAAAGGACAGGATGTAATTATTAGTTATCTATGCTATTTAAGACTAAGAGTTTTTAATCAATTCAGCTTTCAATTTAGAGGTTGATTTTTCAAACTTGGACATATGTGGTTAAAAGAAAAATTAAAATCTATTAAACTTTTTTTTTTTTTTTTTTTTGAGTTGGAGTCTTACTCTGTCACCCAGACTGGAGTGCAGCTCCGGCGATCCTTCCGCCTCAGCCTTCCAAGTAGCTGGAACTACAGGCACGTGCTACCACACCCGACTAATTTTTTATTTATTGTAGAAATGAGGTCTCGCCAAGTTGCCCAGGGGTCTCGAACCCACAGGCTCAGGCAATCCACTCGCCTCGGCCTCCCAAAGTGCTGGTATTACAGACTGAGCCACCAAGCCCGGCCTAAACTTTTATTCATTGTCCTTCTGCCTGTAGGTTTGAATCTATTGTATATTCAAATTCTTTAAGTATATACAACTTTAATATTTTCTCTCAAATATTCCCCTTTTTCTTGGGAAATGATGCATTCTCGGTTTTTGGGGGGTTTTTTTGGTAAGCAAATTAATTATCCAGATATCTTCATATTAGGAGAAAAGTAGCTAAACATGTACAAAATTTTTAAAAAATTCAGAATGACTTGTTCCATAAAATGATATGTGATAACATAAGGAAAGGGATCTTTGCTATGTAGAAATATCAAAAAATTCATAGATCAGTTCATTGTTCTTTAATAATAATATTATGCTTATTTTACTTTTTAGCATGTTGCTTTTAATTTCAGAAAAGATGTCCATGAATCCTCATGTTAATATAAGATCTTTATTTTATTTGATATTTTTCCTCTGTACTAATAGCTTCAGTATTTCTATTATTACAGGATACTGTGACCTGGACATGGCAAGGATATACATTGTAAGTAGCTTATATCTGTTATTAGTTTATGTAAATTGTATTTTAGTGAAGAAAAAGAAAGATCATTTATTCCTTTTTTTAAAAAACAGCCTTGTTGTTATAAAACTAAAGATTTCTGGTCAGCCTTATATTTTATAAACGGACAATCTCTGTAGAGAGCATTACTATCTTACCTATCAACCCCTGGTATCTCCTATGTGCAGAATTCTAGTCACCTATCATATTCAAATAGCTCTCCAGTGTTTTTCTGCCAGTTTGTAAATGATGTGGTTTGCATCACACTTAGCTTTAATTTTGTAGTTTTATTTCCATTATGGATTTGTCATTATCTGATGTCTCCATCCTTACTATGTTGGTTTAAGCAGTTCGGAGCAGTTTAGTCATATGGTCTGAAATAGTTATGATGTGTTTGATATAAGTTGAAAAAATAGCTAACCACGATTTCAGTTCTGTTTTTGGATTTTAAAAGCACTGAGATCAGCAGTTTATCTAAGTATTTTAAAAAGGAGAGGAACACAGTTTCATTTTTAAACAAGCTGAAGTGAAATAGACCTTTCAAAAGTATGTAGAAAATTACTCTTTCTCAAGATCTTTTGTTTAGTTCCTCCTGGATAAGTCTGATCCTGTTTAAATTTTGGGGAAAGTCATGTGAAACACCTGGATTAGAGGACTTTAGGGCTTACACAGTTTTGATATTGTTAAGCACAGAGCTCAAATAACATTGTTGCTAGCTGGGTGACAATCAGTTGAAAATTATCTATCTATCTATCTATCTATCTATCTATCTATCTATCTATCTATCTATCTATCTATTTATTTTGAGTTGGAGTCTCACTCTGTCGCCCAGACTGGAGTGCAGTGGCCGCTCCCAGCCACTGCAGCCTCCACCTGCTGGGCTTCGGCGATCCTTCCGCCTCAGCCTTCCAAGTAGCCGGAATTATAGGCGCGCGCTACCACACCCGGCTAATTTTTTGATTTATTGTAGAGATGAGGTCTCTCCAGGTGGGTCTCGAACTCATGGGCTCAGGCAATCCACTCACCTCTGCCTCCCAAAGCACGGGATTACAGGCTGAACCACCGAGCCCGGCCCAATTGGAAATATTTAAAGACATCCAGCACATCGTGGCCTTTTAAAGATAACTTTTACACAATCCAACCAACTTTTGAAAATCAAATTTTTTAAATGCAGTGCAGTTTCTTTATTCTTTGTGTATGTCAATTGCTTTGAAATAATAAATTTAAATCAGAATAGATAACTGACAGGCCAGTGGAGTAGACATGAACACATGTGAAACATTTATGTTCCTGTTATGCTTCAGTCCTTGGCAGTTGAAGATAAGCACATAAGTTGTAAAGGATATCTAAACAGTGTATAATCTTTAACTTACCAGGAAATCTACTTATTTATTTAACTAAAATATGTGTTTCATGCCGCTATTGATTTTGAATTCTTGGCTGCTTTTATACAAGGGAGAGTTAGGAGAAACAAGTAATATGAAAGCATTAAAAAAAAGTGTCTTAAAGTTGAGTGGGTAGCATGTTTATGCTTCCTAAGGTATGCCATCATTTGGTCTTGTGTAGGTAAAGTTCCTTATGGAGATGGTCCCTGTGTGGTCAATAGGACATTTTTTGGTTGCACAGCAGTCTAGGTAGATGTGGAGATAAAATAGGAGAAGGCTTGTCTGGAAGAAGGACCAGTAAAGATAGAATGAGAGTAGAAAATAGAGTAGTTTAGTTAATCTAGCCTTCTGAACTGGGAAGTGTGTGATAAAGGCAAAAGACTCAAATCATTTTACAAAAAAGATACCTACACACTTATGTTTGTTGCAGCTCTATTCACAATAGCAAAAACATGGAACCAGCCATGTTGCCCATCAAAGCTGGGCTGAATTAAAAAAATGTGGTACATATACACAGTGGAATATTATGCAGCTGTAAAGAAGGACAAACATATGGACTTCGCAGCAACTTGAATGGATTTAGAGTTGATCATACTCAGAAACAAAGAACTGAGTACCATATGTTCTCACTCATAAGTGGACCTTGAACAATTATTATAACACTATAAGAAAGGGATTGGCAGTAGTGAGAAACTGCCAGTGGAGGCGGGGTGGGATTGGCAGTTGAGGGAAACTGCTAGGCGAGGGAGGGTCATGCCTCATTAACAACATTTGTATACCTAACCCTGAATAATCAGCATTTGTATACCTAACCCTGAATTGTACCCTACATCTTTATAATTTAAAAAAGAAAGAAAGAAAAAGAAAATAGGAGAAAGAAGTCAGAAATGAAAGGGAAAAAATATTTTGAGACAGATTTATTAGGACTTATAAACAAACACAAAATCTTTAAAAATACAACTTTGTTTTGTCCAAATGTTACGTTGCACTTATGTATGGCCCAATTCATTTCCACCTCTGTCTTCTGATCTACTTAATGTTGGTAGCACTGTGTTCTAAATTTTCTCAATTGCCCTTGCTCCAAGTGCTACTCTAGTCCCAGATCCTAAGGAAGAGATTTTATACCAAATCAGATATTGTAAAGGAGAGGAGACTCAGGGAATAAACTTAGAAAAGGGCAACTATGAAAAGCTGTTTTGTATCAGTCTAAGAAGCATTTGGTTTGTCTATATTGTGGATAAGAATTTAACGAGAACTTATATGTGCTTTAATTTTTTGTCATAGCATTCAGAACTTTCAGAACAGAATATGTATCTATTCAAATAACTGAATTCCATGGTGCTATTTAAATAATTAAAACATAATTTTCTTTATGTTGGATAATGTGGATTGACTTTGGAGTGCATAGATAATAGGACATGTTTTCCCTTTTAGATGTAAGGTTTGAGAACTGACTCATTAACAGTTTATAATTAATTATGGAAGTGGTAAATCTACCTTCTAAATTATTTTAACTATATTCCTAAACTCCTAAATTTAAGCTTCTAAATTTATTAAATAAGTCCCTTCAGGTAATTTTTGCAGATAAATTATGTATATTTTTTTAGTAGTAAAAAAAATCGGTTGGTTGTTTTCTTAAACATGTAGTCTAGTCCTTATTTCTGGGTCAACTGTCTAATGAAACTAACTTAAAAATCCTACAGAAATCCTATTCAGTCTTACTATGTCCTGGAAAGCTGCTAGTTGGAACGACTATTTCAAAAATTATCTTTGATATTGTTGGTGTTGACCATTTTAAAGAAAGCCTTTGTCTAGCTTTATAATAAAATGTGTAACTTTTCAGAAGACTGCCCCATAACTTAAACATTTACTAATAATAGAGGCAATATTGATAAAGTTTCTGCTTTTAAGGAAAAGTCTACTGTTATTGTTTTTTGTTAATATCAGAAAAGAGTTTGAAAATGTAATGTTCTACCCAGGAGTTTTCCTACAAACACATTGATGTACCTTCAAATGTGGCCTCTCAGGATTTGGTCCTGTGAATGTATGTTGTCAAATTTGGGGTTTAGTCTGCTGAGCTGCAGCTCTGACTCACAAATGCATATTTGATATTCATTTGGTTACTTAACTTTTGAATATAAAATAGTTGTCTAAGCCCAAGAAGTGTTATACCTGCAGTGTAGCATTTATAAATGCAAAATATATGTGAAGTGTGATGTGGGGGTATTTGTGTGTAAAGAATGGATTGTTGAGTAAAATTAGATGATACTTTTATTACCATTTATAGTCATTTCTTTTTTTCTCTTCAGCATTCAGCTTTGTGTGCTTACTTTCTGCCAGCCCTTCACTAAGGTAGAAGTTGAGGTAAGTCATTAAAAATTTAGTCTTGAAACTTGAGATTTGATCTTTCCTTTAATTTTGAATTTCTAATCTAGAGAAACCAGATGGTGGTGGTCCACCACCTTAAAAATAAACCCTGGCATTGTATAAATTGTGTATCTAAACCCAGGCTGTCAGATTTAGCTCTTAAAATCATGTCAGAAAACACCTCTAACTTCTGGAAACTTGGAACATGTAATCATGCTGGTTAGTCAGAATGATATTACCTGTTCTCATCCTTTTACTCCTTTTAATGCTGACCTTTGGCAGGTTGAATGACATATTTTGGCATATTGACAGCAGGAGCTGACCATAGCTGATAGAAAGCCTTAAAACTCCTTGAATATGTTTTGTGAAAGTGGAGAGGTGCTACTTGAGGCTAAGGGGGAAAATACAGAGGTTAGAATCCCTTGCTATGGAATCAGTCTGTACATGAAAAGCCTGGGGAAATCATATGTGGGAGGCAGCTCATATGATCATTCATAAGATATGGTCTTGGTTTAAGTAGCCATGGCAGGGGGGAGTGGAGGAGTAATTGGAACATGTTGAAAATTAATTTTGATCAGTTTTTAAGGCTCTGAAGGTTGGTTCCAAAGCTGTTCTTAGTTTCTAGATAGGATGTGGAATAGACTCCTGAATTCAGAATCCAATGGGTTTTAGTGATACTCTCAGGTAGTTTCTGAAGAGAGAGGGTTAAAATAGTGAGTACCCTGGATTTTCTAATTGCATCTATTCATTGTGTAATGAAAACCTTAAGTTTGCATATGTAATACAGAGTTCCAAATGAGAGCTAATGTCTAAGGGACAACATTGTGGAATCTAACTCACAAGAATACCGTTTTGCTTTGTTGGATAACTTAGCTATTTAGAAGTTATCATTAATGCCAAATGATATAGGAGAGCAAATTGTATTTCAAAATCTGCTTAACTTTAGTGACATTTTCTTGTGATTTGCCTGTTTTCTCCCTGCCTTGAAAGTATCTGTTTATTAATTATATTCCATGTCCCCCCACTTTTAAAAACAGCTCAACATCTCTCAATGTGACCAAAAAACACTGGTTCTTGGGATGTACTGAGATGTTTTTAGGAAAAAAATTAATATGTTTAGAAAGTACCAAGGTAAACAAAATGAATTAGGTTTCTCTTCTCAAGACAACTTGGTGCCTTTAAAATGTTTGACCACAGAACTCCTTTTTTTCTGGATATCTCCTGGAACCAGTGTTTTATAGAGTACGTTTCAGGAAGTCCTGTATTATAATATTTCTTTTTTCCCCCCACCTTCTGTAAACTTTATTTTTTATTTTATTTTGTTTTGTTTTTATTTTACAGTTGTACAAGTGAGGGTTTTCAACAGAAGTAGGTTACTTGTATTATAATATTTCTAAGTATTCTGAACGCTGCTCTTTCTTTTTTAATAGCTGCTTGAGTAGTCTAGCCCTGTTGTATTTTTTTAAAGAAGAAAAACCATACTTTTAAAAGCCATGCTATCTTCTCTGCAAGATATTATCTCTTCCTCTCAATTTACCCCTCTCCAGCTAAAACAAGACCTAATAACAGATGCGGAAATGTGCACAAAACTGTCCTCTTTTGTCTAGCATACAGGTCAGTGGTCAAACTGCATTACAACAGAGGTATGCAGATTCCTCTTTTTTTTTTTTTTTTTTTGCCATGACCTCTATTACCACATTTCCTTTCTGTGTCATAGCTTTCTTTTTTAAAAAAGTTACAATGTTTGCATTCTCCAGCTGGTTCTGAGACCTGTTTGGATCATATTTTTCTGGAAGAGAAAACAATATATCCTTTGTTCGATAACTTCACAAACAAAATGACTTTCAGCTGGTTGAAAATAGCTGAATTGGTAGAGATTTGATGAATTAGAAATCATCAAATGAATTTGAATGGTACAGAGCAAGAGAATGGAAATTTGTGGACTTCAAATTTAGTACAGGTCTTATTTTAGTTATATTTGTTTTAGATTTGTGATGCTCTTACTCAGTTGACTCCTAAATACTTTATGATATTTGAATATTTTAATTCCCAGCTGTTTGTATTTTAACTGAAAGTGTGTCCCAGCAGTCCTTTAGACACTAAGTAAGAGCCTGAGTTTGGCTTGAGACTCTGAAGAGCTGAGCCCTATGAGGCTGCAACTTTTCCATCACATCTGCTAAAGCTGAGCTTGAGATTGGTTAGCAGTCTCAATTCATTTAGTTGCTCTAGTTTCAATTGTCTTAAATGTTCAGAAGTAACTACCTCTCTTTAAATTTGTTTTTAATTGATAGAAATCTTTGTTATTATTTTAAACATGTTTTTAGAACTTTTTAAATTAGGTTTACCTACTTCAAGATATATTATTCAAGAATATAGTATTAGTTGTATGGTTTTTCAAATAAACTTTGAATGGATTATTAAAGTGCTCTTTTAGACACTCTTGCTCTTCTGAGTCACAGGAAACCCCATTATGTTGACTGCCATATCCTTTAGTTTCAAAAGTTTCCCCTCAATAATAATGAATACCAAACTCTTTAATTACCAAAATCTAAATTCTAGTGAATGTAATATTTAGGAATATTTCCTTACCTCCTCTTTTCCATCCCTTTCTCTTCCTCAACATAGAGACTTACAGTATTTTTGAAAAGGTTATTATTTTCTTGATTCTTGATATTAAAAATACAGTAAGTTCCAAACCTCATATCCTGTGTAATTGGTCTTCTGACATCCCTAAGCAACGAAGAAGACATGTGTGTCTACAGAATGGTTCTACTAAAAGTTATCTTTTGAATGGTCATGTAGCATGATGGGTGTCCTTTAGGTGTCTTTTTGTCATCACTTTGATTAACCAGCCACTTCACAAGTATGCTTTATAAGGATATGACTTAGGGCATAGGGACTAATATAACTAGTAGGAATCATTGCAAAATATGTCATAAATTAAGAGCCTGCTAGTGCATCTCATGCAAGAGAATACATGCTAAGTCAGACTATATTGCACCAAGTAGGCAGCAACTAGTTTATGAATGAATCCTTTATATACTATATTTTCACCTAAACATACATACCTATGATAAAGTTTAATTTATAAATTAGGCACAGTAAGATATTAACAGCAATAAATAAATAACAAAATGGAACAATTATAGCAAAATACTATAATAAAAGTTATCTGAATATGATCTCTTTTTCTCAGAATATCTTATTTGTACTATAATTACCCTTGTGATCAAGAAGGGCCAAAACGCAATCAGGATAGCACAAGATTTTATCTTTCTACTCAGAACAGCATGCAATTTAAAAGTTATGAGTAATTTATTTTTAGACTTTTGCATTTAATATTTTCAGACTATAGTTGACCACTGGTAACTGAAACCATAGAAAGTAAAACCTCCAAATAATGGAGGCCTCTGTGCTTGCTTTAGGAAAATTTCTTTGCAAAGCTTATAATGAGCTTGTAGTGGCTAGCATTAGACCTAAAAATACTTTATGGTGGGCAATTAATTGCCTTAAGTAAGAGAAAGAAATTTTTATTTTCATTTTAAAAGAAATTCTAACTTAGGGAAAGAGTGTAATAATAAGTGTTATAATCAGCACCTATATGTATATATCACTTTTTACATTTTCACAGAGCTAATTACTTAGGAAAATGTCAAATATATTTGTATAGTTTGTCTAAATATCCAAATACACTAAAATGATTTGTACTTTTGAATCTAAAATCTAAAATTTGTACTTTTGAACTTTTAAAAAAAATTCATTTTAAAGATGTGAGGTACAATTCAGGGTTAGGTATACAAATGTTCATTATGCAGGTACCCTTGTTGATGAGGTGTGCCTCTCATCTCCTGGCAGTTTCCCACTACTGCCAATCCTACCCCCCCATATCCTGGAAGTTTTCCACTACTGTCAATCCCTTTCTTGTAGTATTATGATAATAGTTAATGATATGCTTATGAGTGAGAACATGTGGTACTCTGTTCTTTGTTTCTGTGATAGATCACTGAGTATGATAGACTCTAAATCCATCCCCAAACCTCAATTTCTCAACTGACTCATCTTTGACAAAACCTACAACAACAACTACCAGGGAGAGGAGAACCTATTCAGTAAATGGTGCTGGGAAAACTGACTGATCTCATGCAGAAGATTGAAACAGGACCCCCAAGTTGCTGCACAGTCCATATGTTTGTCCTTTACGACTGCATAATATTCCATTATGTATATGTATCACATTGTTTATCCAGTTCAGTTTCAATGAGCAACACAGTTGTTTCCATTTTTTTTTTTTACTATTGTGAATAATGCTGCAATAAACATGCATGTGCAGGTACCTTTTTCGTAGAATGATTTGAGTCCCTCCAGGTATATTCCCAATAGAAGGATTGCTGGGTCATATGGAAGGTCAATTTCTAGTTCTCTCAGAAATTTCCACACTGTTTTCCAAAGAGATTGCACTAGTTTGTATTCCCACCAACAGTGTAGAAGTGTTCCTTTTTCTCCACATCCTCTCCAGCATCTGTTGTTGTTTGTTTTTATTAATGATGACTGTTCTTATTGAGGTTAGGTGATATCTCAATATGGTTTTGATTTGCATTTCTACGATGGTTAGTGAGGCTGAGCACTTTTTCATGTGTCTGTTGACTGCCCATTTCTCTTCTTTTGAGAAGTGCCTATTCATGTCTTTTGCCCACTTTTTTTTTCCTTTTGGCACATTTGAGTTCCTTGTCAGTCCTAGATGTTAGGCCTTTGTCAGATATACAGTTGGCAAATTTTTTTTCCTAATCGGTGGATTGTCTTCCCACTCTCTTGATGATTTCTTTTGGTTTTCTGAAGCTTGTCAGTTTGATAGGGTGTCACTTGTCTATCTTATCTCTAGTAGCATGGGCAGTTGGGGTTTTGATCAGGAATTGGTTGCCAGTTCCAGTTTCCAAAAGGGTGTCTCTTGCATTTCTAAGGTTCTTATACTTTGGTCTTTGATCTATTTAGAGTTGATT